CCCACCCAACCCATGCTCATTTACAATACCTGCTGCTGCTTATCTGACAGACAGATGACAACCTACTCCTTTTACTTCGCCCCTCTCCTCTTTCCCCTTCCCCATCAAAAAAAGGAAAGCATTAGTGTATTTCTCCGGAAAAAATTTTAAAATTATTCCCCACAAGAGAAAAGACCACCACATCACTGAAAAAGGATCGCATAAAAATGAAGTTTTTATTACTGGTACGTACTTTTAATAAAAATTGCAAAACAGGCATAAGATATAAAAAGCCTAAAAATTTTAGCCAGGATCACTTCAGCGCGCATTCGTTACACACAAACCTTGAGTTCGGTTCCCCGATGATGAGGAAGTAGTGAAAACCTCCTCCCATCCTTCTTCCTCAATCTCAATCCCTCTTTCCCCAAATTTTTCCGGTAAAACTGAATGCTGGCTTGCCAATCCGTAAAGTTTAAAAGTTTTTTTTTTTTCGCATAGTGGCTGCGTATTACGTGATCCAGGTGCGTGCATTCAATGCTTAGCCTATCATTTGTTCGTTATCCTTGTTCGTTTGTTCCATGAGAAGTTCTCGGCATATGTTTTCGGCTCGATTTTGCGCTCATTTGGCTCGATCACTTCGTAACTGAACTCATTTTTCTCACAGTACTGAATTGCATCTTCCTTTGAGGCAAAATCCAGCGCCATTGCGATATTACTCAGCGGATCGCCTCTGCAATCCCTCACTTGAACAATTACATAGAAATACAAATAATTATCCTTCCCATCGCTTTTCAGAATTTATAAATCCAGAACTTGCTTACTTCCATCCTTCAGGAATTTAACTTCGATATCAGGAATTTAACTCCGATTTGCTGTTAGGACATTAACCGAGGGGAGCAGAACCAGGGAAACATTTTTCATTAAAACTTAAGAACCCGTTTTTAATACAAATTACCACCACAGCTGCTTTGAATGGGTTTAGGTGTCCCACGTTAGTGATGTTACTAGAATGCTCTCACACGCCAAAATGATGCAACAGGTGTCTTGAGCCACGTAAATTTTCCATTTTCCCTCAGCACCTAGCACCTCCTTGGTGCATGTGCACCATTTTACATCAAAGGTCACCCAAGTGGTCGCTTACTTTCTCATTTGTAGCACTCACTATATGCTATGCGTCCTGCTGAGCAAAAGAATAATATGAGCAATCCACGGATTCTTATTTTTTAACCGATTTTTAACAGCACCTTACGAAAATGAATAGAGATAATCGGCTTACTGAGATCAGATTCAGCCAAAAAGCACTATTTTCTGAAAAAAATTTTTTGTAAAGACATAAAAACCGACTTAGTTGCCGAAGAAGATGAAAACCTG